GCACGGCCTTCTGTCAACCACGAACCGTTCATAATCGCTCACGTATGGCACGACTCTGGCGTAACGTCCCCTACTCAGCACGAAATCGCCGGTCGTCTCCGGCGCGCGCGGCGCCGTCCCAGTGACGTCACGGCCGCCTCGCCGGCGCCACGCTCACTGGACGCCATGGCGCGCCAGCTCGGCGGTGACCCTGTCCAGGTAGCCGGGGTCGGGGTAGCCGTGGCCGCTGTCGTTGCCGTGCAGCTCTGTCTTGTGGTGGATCTCGTTCCAGGTGACCACGTCCTGCTCGCCGGTGGTGGCCGACGGGCCGACGGTGAAGATGAGCCGCCGCCGCCACGCCTCCTCCAGCAGCCGGAGCACCTGCGCGCGCACACGCGCCCCAATGAACTTCACTGGGAGTCGCAGGCAGCCACGCCCTAGACCACGCGCCGGTCAGAGCCTCCGTCGGCGACGCCCCGGCACGCGCCAGTCGGAGGCGCGGCCAGCCCCATCATACGCAGATGTCGGTCGGTCAATGGCCAAATCCGACCATCGGCTTGAGGCCCACGACACGTTTATAAGCACCGCCCTGCTGCAGTAATCCTGAAGATTCCACACGCCTATGCCAAACTCCGTCAAGGTTAAGTTGTTGGTCCAACAGACCCAGTACACTTATTTAGCAAGGCAAAGCGCGCTACACCAACGCTCCCTGAAGCCATTCATTGGAGGTTGTTACGGTTCGTGACCTGTCTTTACATTAAATTAAACGTCAAAGCTGCGGTCCACGTGATGAGATGTGCCGTAATGCATTACGTTCAACCCCAACCCAGGACAATTTTGGACCAGAACGCATCGCGTTCAAATATGCCGCCTGCTAGCAGTGGCCGGCACAGCTGGTCAGCGGACACGCACCGCCGCGCCCATCTCGGCCGTACCTTGCGTCCCTGCGTGGTGCTGGGCAGGTAGCAGATGCGCGGAAAGCCGCGCACCTTGTACGGCCGGCCCGGGTGCGGGTGCTCCGGTCCCTGGATGCCCGGTGAGATCCTGTGGGCCGGCCCCCGGGGGCGTCACGCCATGTCCCGTCACAGATCGCACCGGTCCAGTCGCCGTGCCGGTCTGACACACGCGGAGGCGGCCCCAGGGCCAGCCACCGTCTGGGAGACCGCGCGAGCGTACAGAGGAGCAGCACAGGAGGTCACGGCCAAGGTCAGCCACCTCCCGGGAGAGCACACGAGTGTACACAACGGCAGCATAGGAGGTCAGGGCCAGGGTCACCCACGGTCCGGGAAAGCACGCGAGCGTACAGAGGGGCAACACAGGGGGCCAGAACCCAGGTGAGTCACCGCCCGGGATAGCACGCGAGCGCACAGAGGGCCTGCGCGGACGTCCGACGCTGTCCCCTCAGCGGAACGGGCTGGCAGAGCCGACCAAGCCCGGCGGCACGGACGCCGACATCGGAACGTCTGGAGAAGCATCACACACGGAAGGCAGCCACTGATCCGGGTTGCACTCAAACACCACCGCACTGTATCACTCGACAGGCGTCTGGTGTTCGACTTACATGTATGATATTTCGATGGTATCACAGTCGTAGCCGGGCAGCGGGATGGGCAGCCGGCGCGTGGACATCCTGCCCGGCGGCTGCTGCCCCACCTTCCGCCCGTATATGGACTGGCAGGCGGGACACTGCAGGTACTGGACCTGGAACATCCGCCGCACGGGTCCGTCGGGTCTCCACGGCGCGGCACACACCGGCGGCCCGCCACCGCGTTCAGCTCGCAGCCAGCCGCGACCCGGGCCGCAACGCACGCCAGACAGGAATGTGACACCTTAAAACTCCGATGGTCGCACAGCTACACATGACGGGCGCCTGAACAAGGACCACCTGCCTGGCCATCTCCGCTGCGCTCCCGTTTGGAACCGAGCCGACGCGGCGCGGGGCCGTGCCCTACGACATCCGGCGGCGGCGGTCCCAGGGGCGACGTGGGGAGCGTCGACCCACCTGGTTTGTACTCTCGACCATGGCGCGCAGGCAGTCCAGATGGATGGCGTGGCGGCAGCCGTTCAGCTGGATCACCAGGTCGTCGCCGTAGCTGGACGGCTCGGTCAGCATGTACCGGCAGATGCAGCAGGCGACCCCCACCGTCGGCAGCACCACCGACGTGTACATCAGCAGCAGCTGGTCCAGCGTCACCTCTACACGGTACAGGACGTGTGCATCAGCAGCAGCTGGGCCAGAGTCACCTCTACACGGTACAGGATGTGTGCATCAGCAGCAGCTGGGCCAGCGTCAGCTCTACACGGTACAGGACGTGTGCACCAGCAGCAGCTGGGCCAGCGTCACCTCTACATGGCACAGGACGTGTTCACCAGCAGCAGCTGGGCCAGCGTCACCTCTGCACGGTGCAGGACGTGTACATACGCGGCAGACGGTCCAACGTCACAACTGCAAGGCACACGAGTACAGCAGCAGCCGGTCCACTGTCATCACATAACGGGACATCATTGTTGCTGTTGATCGGGATCTAACGGCGCGTCCACTGCCCTAGTCATTTTGCGCCCGGCGTATACATCAGCAGTAGCTACTCCAGCGTCACGTCTGCACCGAACGGGACTTTTCATCAGCGGCGGGCTACCCAAGATCTACCGACAAGCGTACCTTCGCACCATGCATAACACAATATTAACGCAACAACACCAAAGCAGCAACAAAACACAAACCGAACGCACATATCTAGCACAAAACATCACGCGGGAGGGTGTCGCAAGGACAGAGTATCGTATTTCTTGCAGCCCACGTGCATACTCCAACAGCGGAGTCCCTTACGCCCTGCTCCCGCTGTTAACCTGCCGCGCATCACCGGGCGGTACCGGACCCCCCCCCCCCCCCCCCCTCTCTCCCAGGGCCGAACTCCGCCAATCTACACCGGTTCGCCCCGCTGGCTACGTGAATGACCACCGCTTACTGACAACTGTTTCATACAACTGATCACTTAATCGCCGGGCTACCGCCCACGCTGCTAACTGTACCGAAAAGCGCATACTCGTGGTTCAGTGTACTGCTATCAGTAACTTCGCGTATCATTCGAGCCATACCCATGCAAGGAAATGCCTTCTTGTATATCCATGATAATTCGTTACATATTTCTTAGCAGTTTATTTTCCTTGTTTGTTTGTTGTTGTTTTTTTGCATAATTTTAGTAACTTCATGGTGGCATTCCCAATCTCCACCACTGCCGTAGTCCCACGCCACAGCCACCTCCGCCGTCGCCACCGCTTCCGCCGTCCCCACCGCCACCACTGTTGCCCCGCACCGCCCTCCCCACCGTTTCCGCCGTCCCCACCGCCACCACTGTTGCCCCGCACCGCCCCCCCCCCCCCCCCCCCCCCACCGTCGCCAGCGCCGTGCCTCGCCAATGTCACCAGCCGGCGCGCCTCGCCGCCGTCGGCAGCTGCGCTCCGACAGCGGCGCTCACCGTCGTCCCGGTAGTTGGTGTCCATCAGACACACGCTGCGGCCGGAGCTGTGCGAGCTCTGGCTGATGTAGGTGGATATGGTGGCGACGCTGAGCCGGCGGCCGTCGGGCGGGCGCGCCGGCGGCCGGCTGCCGGGCGCCGGCGGCCGTCCGCCCGACGCCACCGAGGCCGAGTCACCGCTCTCGCGGCGACTCGGCCGACTCGCCGGCCCGGCGTCCGGGTCCAGCGAGTCGGCGATCCGGCTGGACAGCCGCGTCAGCTGCTTCATCAGCTTCTTGGTGCCGCTGCTGTCCTTGTCCTTGCGTTTCTTGTCCTTCTTCTTGGAGGTGGCTGGCGGGCGACGAATCTCCTCTACAGGGGACACAGCGGAACTCAGCCAAACCGAAGCAACCGAGGGCGAAAACGGAACGCAACGAAACAAGCAAACGGGTAACCAAAACGAAATCAACATCCCGGCTTACACCGCTATATGCTGATGACAAGTCCTCGGCGGTGGAGGCCGGCCGGTGCCGCTGGGACACCTCTGCTGACCGGCGGCCCCACAGGGACGCTAGTGCGGGGTCCACGCGGCGCTCACCTAGCGTGGGCGGCTGGAAGACGAACTCGTCGGCCGGCACCTTGGTGAGCGGATAGGCGGCCTGCTGGGCGCGCCGCAGCTGGCGCACGTACCCGCTCGTCTTCTTCACCTGCGTCAGGTTGCAGAAGTTGATGATGTAGGGCAGGTGCGGGAACACGTGACTGACGTCAACCGTCTGCTCGCCCTGTAAACAAGAAAGGCGAAGACAGCAGGTCAGCACACGGCGTGGTCCCCTGCCTGGGGAAGAAGGCGGACACCTGCAGCGGCCAACACCACACTTCCAGCACTGGAGTCCATGCCCTTCGACGGCAATCACTAGGCACCCGTTCGTCAGACGCATCGAGCAACGACATCACGCAATCCTTGATTCTGTTAGACAAGGACAGCTCTTGACACGCGATGTCATATACCCAACGGCGATAGCGCACGGTCCGTTGTGGTAAGCGAAACCACCGACACCGATGGCAACCTACAACCCCGCACGGGTCAGGTCCCCAGCGTCGTGTGTCAGCATCGCTACCACTCATCACTGGCCGGCCGGACACCCACCATGGACCAGACGGTCTCCACCCATCACTGGCCAACCAGACACCCACCATGGACCAGACGGTCTCCACCAGGCACTGGACGTCCATGTCGTAGCTGTGCCACTCGGAGGGCGTGTCGCCGGCCCACTGCCACACGGCGCCGCGGCCGGCCGGGGAGCTCGGCGGGTAGAACTGGCGCCGCACCGCGATCTCCCGGTCTGCCGACACGCGCACACGCGCGCACGGTCACGCGGCGGCTGGGCGGCGCCCGTGGACGGGACGCTGACGCTGGGGCGACGGCGTGGACGGGTGTGCACGGCACGCGCCGCGTGTGCACGGGAGTCGCGCGGTGAAAACATGTCAGTCCACTGTAGACGGCCGGAGGGTACCTCTGAATGAGCCCCCGACCTGCGGCCAGCCCGACATGTCACTGTGAGCAGGAGCTATCCCATGAAGACAGGTCTCAACCATGGCGCTGTCCAGTCCCGGACGGAGCCGGCTCGCCAGCGCCCCTTGTGACCCCGCCTTGACCTGACCTGACCTGACAGGCCCCCGACGGCTGACAGCTGACCGCTCACCCGACGAGTCGCACAGCTGACGCAGGCTGGTGATGTGCACCGAGAAGTTGGAGAGCAGCGGCTCGGCGTCGCCCAGGAACACCGACTTCAGTCCCTTGGAGAAGGCGCGCTCGAGCAGCTGCACCACCTGCGGGCTGTAGGGCCGCCAGCGGTGCTGGCTGTTCTCCCACTCCCAGACCACCACCACCTGCTGCATGGCCGACGCCATGGCCGCCCCGCAGCACGGCCGACGGACAGCGGCCGCCGCAGCTCTGCAACACGACACGACACGGCTGAAAGAGGACATCATCACGTGGCTGAGACATGCCACTGTGACAACGCTGGAACATGACAGACGCTCCGCCGCTCTGGCCAGTCGAACACTGCACAGTAACACGACTGGAGCATACCATGGCAAGTATGGAACGCAACACTGCGGCACAGTCAAAACCCTACACCAGGGCATGGCTACCACACCATGTGGCTGGGAATAGCCAGATGATATGATTGGGAATAACAGATGGGCCACATGCAGTACAGCCCACCACCCAAATGATGGTCATTTAATTTTGTGGTCGATAAAACAGACTTGAGAAGATACAACGACATCGAAGAACAACCCAGAGTGCAATTTTTAGCTTTGATGTGGGCAACACCAACAAACTTTGAATCCATATTCTATTGCAGATGAGAAGCAGAAGCTAGTCCTGATTCCCTTTTATCCCCCCAGTGCTCAACCGGCTAGAGCGCCTACGTTCCGATTTACCCAGCCGTCGCGGCATCGGCCGCTTCAGGCGCTCACTACTTGCCCCTGACAGATATGGACTGCGGCTGGCGGCAGCGGCCGCGATAAAGGTCGGATGATGTCAGAGGGCGGACGGACCATGACGGACGGCAGGCTTTTGCCACCAAATTCTGCCACTGACATAGAACTGCGCGATTAGATAGTGGGGGTCAGGGCTTACAAAACAAGCACTGCTTAGTGAGTTCTGATCCTAGAAATATGTCCATTCAGAAGGTTTGGATTAAATATTTTTGTTAAAATATGCATCAAAAATGGTTTGGTCAATGACTGACCAGTCTCATCCCTCACTACCATAAAAATTACTTAACCATGCACATATTGAACTATCCTACACTTATACATTATCATCCTGCACCAGCTCAATACCTTACTTTTTCAATGCATGCTTTTACCTGCTGCCAGACAGGGACTCAAGCCCCATTAATGCCTTATGACATTGCTGACCATCAGTTTGTGTTACTCTGTTACCTTCACTTTCCTATGCTCAATTTAGCTTCATGAGACTAGATCATACTTTGGAATTTAGCTCAAAATTGGGAACACTACCCAAGGCAGAAGTATAACATTATGCTTACATTCACAAAGTGGAAAAACATGCATGAATACTAACATGCAAAATGCTATCACACAAAATAACTGATCCCACCTATGACAAATGATTACTTTCAACTACTTGGGGAACATCTGTTAACACACCTGACAGAGAAATGGTGTGGATAGTCAGCAGAAACCCTCTCATATCAGACCATGCATATACCTTACCTCTGTCAGCATACTGATGCTAAGTGGGTCAGTGGAAATGAAAAGAATTTGATGCACCAAGCTCTATGCCTGCCAATCTATGCAAATGTGCAATCTACAGGTAGTCTCATCCATGCTGGCTTAATTCTCACTTCTAGTGAGGAGAAAACTAAACAAGCAAATCTGTAGGCACCTAATATCCTAACATAGCAGTTCCATTATGCTTCAAACTATTTCTGCTAGTTGCTGCACCAGCAAAGGGTGGAATTGCAACCATGAGCTCCGAGGGGTTGAGCCTTCCCATGATTTTTATACCAGGGCCCAGGCTGATTGCTAGGCTTCTGTGCAGGCAATGACAGCTTTGGAAAATGTCATTTGAGTGCAATGTTACATGGCATATCACAATAACATTATTAGATGTTGAGTATTTTATTATTGCTATGAGAACAACCAATATTCAGTGTTTTGCTATCAACAAGCAAAATCAGATAATCCAAGTGAGCTACTAGTTGATCATTTTTGTTTGCGCTGGTTGGAATATTAAAAATGTGAGCTTTAGACTGCACAAAAAATGTGTATTACACCAAACATATTCTGTGTGCATATGTACAACTAAAGTTTCAGTGCATGAACCTTGCAAATCAAAGTGCTCACATTTTGAAGCACTGCTTGCATCAACATCAGCCCAAAGATAGGCAATGCTCCATGGAATTGTCATCCTGCAAAGTTCACTTCCAGGGATAAGCAATAAAAAATTACTCCATAAAAATTGTGAAAATTCTGCATGATCTGGGATGACCAGAGCTTCACACACATACAAGCATGGGGTCAGTGTTCAAATGTTGCATAGACATTCTGCATAACAGATATGGTAGTTGGCCAGGTGCTGAATGATGGTAGAGGTACCTCCCAGGTTTTTACAACTACCAAATGCTTTTGCACTGCAACACATGCATGTGTGTCAATTTCAACAAAACCTGTTCTAATCTTTCTGTTAACAAGCCAACAAACAGACAGACAAGCACATATGACTAACCACATCATACTGCCTTCAGAGACCATAGGTGCAATGATACATAAGCTAATTTAGACATGAGAGATGCACAAGGTTAACAGAGTGTGTGTCTCATCCTGTACACAATTGATCATGATGACAGACATATTTTAGGTTGCCAGCTACAAGTTTAGGAATGTCTCATTCCCAAGTTAGGCAGCCAACAGCTATCTTGTATTCAATCCCACAGTACTAAGCCTTATAGCTGATAGTACGGCCCTAGACCTGCAATATAAAATGTTGTTCACATACCTGCTGCGATTAATTTATCAGAAGTATTGTATTGCTTGCGCAATAAAACACACCATCATTACCAGACGCGACCCCTCATGCAGGGTTAATCATCACAACTCATTCGTAACACAACCGCGTTGGCACCTCTCAACATCAATATCACCCAAAACCGTCCCTAACGCACGCACAACAAACGCCATTATATGCCCCCACACCGAATCTCGATATCGCTGTTTTTGTGAAGGACGCCGTCAATCACGACGCGACTGAGGCGTACAAATAGCTGGTTACAATATGCTGCTAAAATGCAACGCTGACGTTACATCCTGTCCCGTGCTTCCAGTGAGAGGTTTGGTTGACGAACCAATCCGATTGCGAGAATCAAATAGAAATGCTATCAGCCCTTTTTCTCCTATGCATGCTGCGTGCGAACAGTGCGCCGGAGACTACATAACGGGCCCACTGGAGCCGACCGATGTACACATTAGCGCATCGCAGCGCTTGGGTCGATGGTTATAGATGCATGGTTTCGTTTCAAAGGAGTATGTCAGGGGACCCACGGACACATTTCAAAAAATTACTCTAGTGAAACCACCGGATAAGTTATGACTTATAATGACACCGGGTAGTGCCCCTGCTTCACCGTCAAGACAAAATCAAGACATCAATCTTAATCACCTCCGAGCCAGATCGCACCGTCAACGGTCTGCAACAGCGTCACCCCTCTCCCCCGCAGTCGCGACCACCGTCGTCATAACAACCACCGTGTGCAACTCTACTGGTGCGAATAAAAGAACGTTTGTGATTGGTCCAATAGTGGACAATGGTCTGTTACCGAGAAGCGCATTGGTTAAATTTTAAACCAGTGCGCCACATGGATCATGCGATAATTTCCCGAAGCCAAAGGGCGCCTCGAAAAGAGCCACGGTGGTAAGGGCCATAGGGATCAAACAATCCGTAATACGTTTCACTGAGTTGGCGAATTAATAGCTCTGCACTCGTATATATTTTTGTTTCAATAGTGTTTCAAGCTTTCGTAGCAATACCATATTTCACAAAAGCTCAATAACTATTAACATAACTCACTATCACCCTCAACAACACATACACAATATCTAGTATTCGCCAGCTCCCTCAATTCATTACACGCTCACTCACCCACGCACCCACCCACTCGCCCACCTTTTCACCCACCCACCAAATCACTCATTCACCTATCCATTTTACCATTCACTCACTCTCTCGATCACCTACCTATCCAAGAACTCATCCATTCACTATCGCATCACGCACTCGCTAACCTACACACCCACCCACCCACTATCTCACGCATTCAGCCTCATTCACAACACGCTTACTCGCCAACAACTCCCTCACTCTTACCGATTTCATAAGTCAATAACCACTGCCAGCATCAGTTGGGTGTTGTGAGTTTTGGCACACATTTTGTTTATTTCTCAAGGCAGAAATTTGGAGATAATCAAAACTTGCTCCATGCCGGTTTAATGCTTAAGAAAATTTGCCGTCAATCTCATACAGATGTTAATGACCGCTTACTTCTAAATGTTTAACGTAACGTTAATTTATTCACTCATGGATTCATGAGATCAGTGGTTGGCGCTTATCTAAAAGTGCAAATATTTAACATGTCCGTATCTTAGCCGCACAAGTTTGCTTTGGCATTCAGTTTGGTGCGGTTACGTCAGATGACCTCTGACACCGCGTTGGTCTATTCCACACTTGTCATACCGTGCCAGGTAATGATTCTTTCTCTACCCTTGCCAGGGGTGCCTGCGCATCATTCGCGACCGTGCAACAGACAACGGTCATAGGTACGTGCGTCCGCCGTGCCTGTTCCGATCAGTGTCAGGACGGCTGCGAGTTCTGTTCACACTGTTCCCGAGAAAACATCTGCATGATCAAGACGTAGCAGCCTATTCCAGCGGGGCGGCTTGGCTGCGGTTATGGACGTGCAGTTCTAACAGTCAGGCATGCAGCAAAGGGGAAGATGTCCACTACTGGGGAAGACGACGGCAACCAGAGATGAAAAACACCACTACAGATTCCATGTTTATTTTATGGGTACTTAAGAGCGTAACGCTACCTGCTGTCACAATGTTTCCTGTAGAGAGGGTCTGAAAATCTTCGTCAATAAACATCATTGCCGTTCATCCATCGATGAAGCATCGGCCCAGTTTGCCGCATCCGCCAGGTAGGCAGAGACAGCTGGATCTCCAGGCGGTGTGACAGCAGTAGGGAGTAAGTGCCGGGCAGGGGTCTCGAGGATGGCATGGAATAATATCCACTTTCCCTATAAATCAGAACACGTGCATGTATCGGACACTTAAATGCCATAACAGTGATCATCAACAAAAGCTTCACGCGTTTTATACCTGCGGACCTCCTCCCCCCCCCCCCCCCCCCCCAATGCTCCTCTGAGTCCCCTCAATGCATATAAACACAGAGGGAATACTAGGCCAAAAAATACAGACAAATTATATTTATCATTGGCATACGAGGTGGTAGGCACCTAAGCACATAACTATTAGCATCATGTTCATTTTGTAACCAATAGTTGTACCTACCACAGGCGTACAATTGGGTACCCCTGTAGGTACGTACCCAAACTTTTTGTCTTGCTGGCTCCTGCGCATGTCGAGCCAATCTGGAAATGTTTCACAAGTTTTTTTCTCAAATGATAGCGCCTGAACTGGGTTAAAAACAACTGAATGAAACATGCACCAGCTTTGAAAAGAACGGGGTGGCTCAGATAAAAGTTAAGGAATGTCTTCTCCAATAACGGCAAGTGTATTTGTCGCATAATCGTGGCTGAGCTGGTTATGCAACGCGATCAGCGGCAGCGCTAGTTATCAGTGATACCTCCATAAGATTTACTAAGCTGCTTTCCTTTGAATTGCGCCACATTCTAAGCTGAATTAACCACATTCTAAGCTTTTCAGAAACAGACAGCTCACCTTAACTTGAAATGGGATGTCATTTACCCACAGGAGATTATTTTGAAATATACAAAATTTTTATTGTTTTTTTTTTGTTTTAACACCAAGGACAAAGATTCATGTCACCGAAATCCGAGAGAAATCAGATTCTGGGCGTAGATTAGGTCAACCTTCTCCGTTGAGTCCCTAATCCTGTTTTAGAAAATGACATCACTGGTTATATACCATGAATTACGTCATAGGTTGATAGCATAACTTACACAAGCCACGTGATTCCATGTTGTGAGCCGCAGGCATCACAAGACCAACTCGCAGATAATAAACTATGCACGAGACCTCAATAAATCAGACTCCACACCCACACGCTTATATTGCTTGGCGTAACGGTGATTTGTGCTGTTCTTCGCACCAATCGTGAACCCACCTGACAGCACTATTCCAAGTACACTCAAAACGAGCAGTAAGCAGAGGAGTCGCATGGCTGGCGTGGCGCTGTCGACCCGCTGTGCCTTCAGCCGGGATCTGCCGATCGGCGACGCCCTCAGGCTGGGCGCTTCGGCGCGGTTTGAGCGGGTTGTCATGGAGCGGGCGCTCTAGGGCGCGTCGTCCGGCACGTGACTGTCACGTGACTCAGACCCGCGGGTGGTGGACGGGCGACGGGCGCAACCGTCATTCAGCGCTTGACAGGACCCCGACGACCCATACACGGGCCTCCAAACGGATGGGTTTCAAAGGCGCTGAGCTTCTCACGTTGAGGTGATGGCTATTTGTAGCGCAACGTTGGTTAAAGTTTGAATGCGATCATTTCAGTGAACGCCTGTCTCCAAAGATCTTTTACACTATTAAACCAAAGGCCTGGATGAAGGCATGAATGAAGTGTTAGGCAAGGCAATAAGTGTTCTCTCAGGCCATAGCTAATGTGTGCGTGCGAGACGCAACTCTTTATACGATAGGGATAATCCCATCGTGCACTGTTTGACGTCACCGCTATTTTGCAGTGCGCGGGTTTTTGGAGGTCGTCATGGTATCAGAATCGTATCGTGTCGCACCCACCGAATCAAATGACTTGTTGGCTTGTTGTTTGTTAATGTCAAGATGTCTGCACGAATTACCGCCTACGTGGTGCGGAAAATGCGGTCTCCCCGAAGGCCATCCCGTAACTTTCAATCAATTTTCTCAACCACATAGTATGACGTACTGCAACCATGTATCACACAGACATGAATCAGCGGCCGCGTAGGTCAAACATGTCCACGGGTTAGCGCCGCTTCTTTCCACGGGCATACAAAGCGGGCTGATGAGGAGACACTTCATCTCCTCCCCGGTGTTCAGCGAACTATTGAGCCGAGAACCATGACGAACCAAGAACCATGGTGACCGCCCTCCGTTCGTACTGCAGGCTTCCAGCTCAAGCCGGCAACGCTGCCGGAACTGTCTCGGTGCGCCCATCGCACGAGTGCTCTCGCGTGCGGCGGGGCTGGGCGAGGTACCACTTGCAGCTGCGCGTCTGTGCTATGCTGTCATTGGACCGCACTTGTTAGCTTGTGCTTTGCGGCCGGTGTTTGCCGACCAATGAAAGCCGGCATGTGTCGCACCGATGCTTAACCCAGCCGTGCTGTTCAGTGACAGGCCTATTTCCCCGCTCACTGTGCTTTTCAAGATTCTGGGATTGGTAATTTGTAGCCAACTTAGCAGGTACCTGCTATCGACCGGTCCACTGAGCCCATCCCAGCATGCGTGCCCCCGGGGCATGCCGCTCAGAGCATGGCGCTCTATTGAGGACGCCGTGTTCGGCGCTGTCGAGCGCCTGGTCACCGACGTCGCCAACGGATTGATATCGTCGGTGAGAACGATCGATCTCTCGAAGGCGTTTAACAGCGTCGACGTTGGCGTCCTTCTCACTTAGCTGTCTTGGTATGACGTAGTTGGCACTGGTTAGTTTAGGAGTGGTTGCGAGCAGATTGTACGTAGCGGGTGGCTCTCCCTCCCGATGTCGTGCGGCGTGCCCCAGGGCTCGATCATTTGTCCCATTCTCTTCATGTTGTTCACTTATGATCTGTCTAGATATCTGACACATGGCCGCCCCACTTCATTCGCTGATGATATAATGTGCCTTGACGGTGTGCGTTCTGATGGGCCGGATCTTGATGCCCCCAAAAACACACCGTGGTTTGTGCTAGCTCTTCCCAAAATGAAAGAAGCATATGACTTTCTTTCGTTGCATCCAAACAAAACTGAAAAGCAGCCCACTTTAACTTTGTTATCAACGGAACGGCCGTGCACCCTTCCAAAACCTGAAGATTCAAAACCCGTACGTTGTGGCGACCTCCGGCCTGTCCTCGTGCGCGCACGCCATGCGTGTAGTT